GACTATTTAGTATAGATTAAACAGATATCAGGATTTCTTATCACCATCAATAACTACTTCATGAATGGTCATTGTTTACTAGTCAATAATTTTTTCCATTAAATTTTATTAAGTTTCAATAAAAGATAAAATATTAGGAACCCAAAAAAATATTTGAAAAAGAAAAGACAAAAGAGGGGAAAATTAGGAATGCTGAAAAGGAAGAAAATAGAAAAAAGTAACTTTTGACTTTCTTTGGTACAGATACAAATATAAAATACATTAACTTCTTATTCTAAAATTAAGAATAATATACAATATTTCTATAATCATAAACAGTTCAAATCTTTAATTCCCAAAATTAAAATTTCATTTCTTTCAGTTTCAAGTTACAAAAGGAAGTAGATTTGTTCTTGATGCAGACAGGGCAGCACAATGACCAATAATTTGAAATGAAAAGGTGATATATTCAGAATGAAGTTTAGGAAGAATTTCCTGATGATAATAGTTGTTAAGCAATGGAAGGATTCACTTAGATCAGAGTTCTCCAACGTTTCTGGCTTTGTGGACCCATGGAGGGGAGGAGAGGGGATGGTCCTGCATGAGCCGCTGGCAAGCGCACACACGTAGCTCCATTTGTGCAAGAGAACATGTGCACACTCACTAGCCTTTTCTGTGACCTGGCTGCAATCCCCTCACAGCCCACTTAGAGTGCCATGATCCATAGGTTGGAGACCCCTGACTTAGATCAGTATTTTTCCTTATCTCCTGGGAAGTTTTCAAATGGACCAGAATTCTTGCATAAAGCAGATAGTTGAATTATATGCTCCATAAGATACCTTTGAACTCATACATTCTATGCCATGAAAATGGTCATGCAACAGACTAATACCCCATCCAGATATTTATATGCATTGTTAGATTAATAATTAGGGAATCTAATGATTGCAAAGCAGTCTACATTTTTCAGTCAGCTAATGTATTTCATTATTGATTTTAAAAATAAAAAAAGGAAATAAAAGGTGTGGAGTGAGTAAATGAAAAGGTAAACTTTCAATTCTTGCAACCAGCTTGAAGAAAAAAAAATCAAGTGTAGTGAAGCCAAAGGGAGCTATTCTCTCAGAGTCAATGGGATGGTCTCGCACACGCGCGCGCACACACACACACACACTCACAGTTCTCCCTCTGCTTCAGGCTGTTATAATGATTGCAATTATACCACACTTGAGGGAGATGATCTATTTTAGTCAAGTAGGACACAAACATCCCCATTTTGCAGATGCAACAGTGATGTTGAAATAAAATTCCATGCAGGGAGCTCACATTATTTTATTTGACTGGATGTATCTTCAGAAGACCCTATTTGTCAGTTTCATTATAGTTGTTACTTGAAATGCTTTTATAATAGTATCCTGTTTTCCGTTCTATATTAGTTAAATTAGTTATGCATGGCAGAAATGGATTGTGCCTTCACTGATTATGAACATTTAATATGTAGTCTTTTTTCCAGTACAATCCAAAAAATGTAACATTTCATTTTTACTTCTAGCACTGAGTGCAATGTTATCCAGGAAATTATGCATCTGTCCTATGTAAAAACATAAAATAAAATAAACATCTACTTGGAATACACATAGTCTGTAGTTCAGAAGCTTTCATATTATTAAGTCAATTCACATTATTTTTTTCTTTCAACACTAAATGGTTACATATTGTAAGTCCGGAGAATAATGCTAGCTGCATGCTTCTTCAGGAAATGATATATACACAAACCATTAAAAAGCCCAACCTATAGCATTTTGCGTGGGTGAAAAACTCCCTTTCTCACTTAACAGCTAATAGAAATGAAAGAACAGGATGCCTTTATAGCAATCTTGAAGGGAGATCTATCATTAGAGTGAGTGAGCCTTCAAAGCACACCTTAAGAAGAAATAAACAAACGCACTATTTTGAACTTTTAAGGCATCTAGGCCTTTTCACTAGCACCAGGACTGTGATTACCAAGTGGGAGATAATTATTAATCTTAACCGAACACTTTTCGGCTTGCAAGTGCTTATCAGTTCTCCACACACAATTCATTCTAAGAAGCAAACTAATGGAATGAAAAGGAGGCCTGTGACTCACAGATGATAGCATAGGGATCCAAGAGAGGAAGAAGTGGGGTTGGAACAAACTGATCTGGTGTTTAAATAGGTTGATTTTCTTCGTACAGGAAGCAAAAGGGGGGAGGGGAGAACAAAAGTACAAATGAGAAATGGGAAGGAAAGTGGCTAAATGCCTAAATATGGCTAGAAGAAAAACAGCTTTTCTGTACAGAGAGACTCCAAAGAAACCACATCATCAGAATTCATATATCATACTATTTCATGATGTATTCTGTTTGCTCTGGATCAGCTATTGTGTCCATCTTTTTTATTGCTTGAATTCAGCCAGTTGTGATTCATTTAATAAACCCTGTTTAAAACACAATCCTTAGAAAGATGTATGAACTCAGCCCCCAGGATTAATCTTGCAAAGTCCCAACATATATGCCCAAGATGAGGGTACAATCTTATATAAAAACTATATGGATATGTTAGATTACTATTTCTAAAATAATAGAAAGTTAGCTGAGACTAAGATTTGTTTTTAAATAATTAAATAAGATTGCACAGATAATCACTAACAATAGTAAAGAAAAATAACGTAAAGTCCAGTATTTGGGGGGGGGATAAGAATAATGTGATACCACAACTAAAAGGTTCAGTATTTTGAGGATGTTAGGGCAGATAGTATACCCACAATGAGAATGGGTTATAATGTATTTATTAAAGTGTAGATGCTGGATCCTTGGTGGGGCTCAGAGCTGCCTGGGATCATGTCTCATTTTCTATCTTCTCCTAGAATGATGCAGTCGGCATCCCTTTGCTAAAATAACAGGCTTGTTATCTAACAAGAAAGGTATCCCATGCTTATTTTTGCTAACCTGTTTTGTTAAACCAGTGTTTTTCAAATTTGGCAACCTTATTATGTGTGAACTCCAACATCCAGAATTCACCAGCCAGCAAGTTGACTGGAGAATTGTGGGTTTTGAAATCCACACATCTTAAAGTTGCCAAATCTGAAAAACATTGTGCTAAACAGTATTTGTCCACTGATGTTTCTTTTGTTTTATTTCTTTTATTAAATTGCCACCCTGCCTTTTGTCAGGAAATAGAAGGAGGCATATTTAGCTTTCCTCCTTCAGAGTTCTTCCACAAGGAAGCTATGAGGTTGGGTTGAGAAGAACAAATGACCAAAAGTCATCCAATCAGTTATTAAGAAGTTCTGCTCAAATTATTCCCTGACTGAAGTTAGATCCTGAATGTAAAAATGCTGCAGCCCTCCATATATCTTCCTTTTTCCCATCTTGCCATATTCCTTGTAAGATTCAAAAACATGGTTTATCAATTATGGTTTGTAGAATAGATCAGGGGTCCCCAACCCCTGGTCTGTGGACCAGTTGGTAAGACATCTAGGTGACAAGTAGCTTCCCATGGATATCACCAGTTCATGAGGAACTAAGTTACTCTATTTCAGGGGTCGGCAACTTTAAACACTCAAAGAGCCACTTGGACCTGTTTCCCAGAGAAAAGAAAACACTGGGAGCCACAAAACTTGCGTGCACGCACGAGAGGGGAAACTTGATTGAAGAGTTTAATTAAAAAGAAATAGAGGCTGCTGTGTATGAATTCTCTCTCTCTCTCTCTCTCTCTTTCCCTCCCTCCCTCTATTTGTCTCCCTCCCTCCCTCCCCCTCTTTCCCTCTCTCCATCTTCTGCTTACCTGGCAAGCTGGCTTCACGCTGTTCTTCAACAAGCTGACACACATTCTTATTGGGCTGGCTCTCTCTTGCCCTTGGTCTGCCAGTCCTCTTCCTCCACCCAGTGAGAGAGAGAGAAAGAGAGAGAGCTGCTGCTGCTTCCTGCTTCCTGCTGAGACATAGCAAAGGCAGGAGCCCCACCCAATAAGTCTGTCAGTGTGAGGCCACTCTCTTTTTTGCACACACACACACACACACACACACACACACACACACACACACACTGTCAAGCCCCTGGGCTCGACATGAACTGGTGGGGGGAAGGAATGGAGCAGCCAGCAGCCAGCCGACATCCATGCGCCACCCACAGCCGACCCCCGTGTGCTGCCCGAATCCTGAAGACCAGCTGAGCATCAGAGAGGCCACCTTTCCCCGCAGCCGCCTCTCCCTTGTTACAGGGCACCAGAGAATCCCAAAGGCCAGCTGGGCATCGAAGATGGGCTAGCTGGGCGTCGGAGAGGCCGCCTCTCACCATGGCCGCCTCTTCCTTGTTACTGGATACCGGGGAATCCCGAAGGCCAGCTGGGCATTGAAGATGGGGCAGCTGGGCATCAGGGAGGCTGCTTCTCATCACAGCCACCTCTCCTGTGTTGCCGGCTGCCAGGGAGGAGGCCGGCTATGATGCCTAATTGCTGGGCGTGGGGGACATCACCTGATGCCATCGGATGTGCTGCTGGCAGCCGGGGAGGACGCTGGCTGCCTCACAAAGCTACTGAACCCCAGAGGGGCCACCTGATTCCTTCACATACTGCGGAGCCACACCGGTGGCTGGGGGAAAGAAAACTGGTTGCCAGGCGTTGCAGCTGAACAGTAACTGGTTGCCGGATTGGACAACTGGTCCTGCGGAGGTCATGTGCTGATGCATCCGGAGGGGGATGGTCAGATATTGAGCTGTGGCTTTTACCTGTATGGACCAGATGCTGGCTTGCTGATTGGGGTGGGGTTGGAGGGTGGGGCACATCTATGTAAGGCACTGGGAGCAAGCCACTCCCAGTGCTGACTTTCATTTTGCATGCATTAAACTCTTGTTGGTCACTTTGTTCCTGTGTTCCTGGAGTTTGTTTTCAGCAGATAGAGGACATTTCACACACACACACACACACACACACACACACACACACACACACACAGAGAGAGAGAGAGAGAGAGAGAGAGAGAGAAGGAGGGAAGCGCAAGTGCCTCTCTCTGTCTCTGTCTCTCTCTCTGCAAATGGTGGAGGAGGCTAGGAGCCGCAGGAGAAAGCTCAAAGAGCCACATGCGGCTCTAGAGCTGCGAGTTGCCAACCCATGCTCTAGTTACTCCAGTAATTCACAAGGAAGTGAACAGGATCCAGTCAGTGAGCTAGGCCATGTATTTGATAGATACAGGCCTCTCCTGGATAGTTAAGGGCTTCTGGAGGAAACCTATTGTTGGACCCATGCACAGGTATGAGAGGCAATTGTCCCCTCACCTTTAAAGGTGGTATAGTGTGCCACTTCTTAAGAGCTTATTGCTGGATCCAACCATTCTGGATAATTTTCATCTGGTCTCCAACTTTCTCCTGGGAAAGATAGTAGAGAGAGATGATCAGGCTTCAGTTGCAAAAGATCCTGGGGGAGAGGATTATCTAGACCTGGTCAGGTCTAGAACCTGATTTTTCTGCTTCAAAGCTGGTTCCACCTGTGTTGATAGGCAGGCAAAGGTCAACCTCTAAGTTCCTCCTTTATAGGGTGCCACAGATTTGATGTTTTTTCTTCTCCAGTTCAACTTTTACATACAGAATCTATAGTGATATGTAGTGATGAAGGCAGTGATGTGTGTGTGTGGTAGAATATGCATATGCTCACTCTGCTCCATAAGCTTCATTGGTTGCTACTTGGCTTCTTCCTTTTTAGTCAGATCAGCTAAGTTCAGGTCAGAAAGTGTGTCTTCACAGTAAAGTTACTGTCCAATGGAATGACATCCATAGATTTGTATTGTTCCCACTCCTCTGACTGTTCATAAATTGTTTAATGTTTGGTCTTCATCCCAGTTGCTCGGCCAGAATGGGAATTCTTTTGGTTGCCTTTTGGCTGCTTGGATTTTGCTTTCTAGTTTACTATCTTCATTTTCCTCTTAACACAGTTTTTTTTATCTGTAAACCATTCAGGGTACCCCCAGAATCAAAATTGAAGTAATAGTAACAATAAGTAAACAAACAAACAAACAAACAAATAAACATGCCTATACTTCACTGCACTCCATTCTCTGGTGCTGCCATTCATTTGTTGTCGTGTAGGGCCACCTTCAGCTTATGGAGACACCAGGCCAGCCAAGCAGAACACAGAGTCTGTTTAGCCTGAAGTTTGTTACTTCCTTAGCAATTTTCCTCAAGGCCCTCTGAAAAAGAAAATTTGGCATCTGGGGAAAGAACTTGATTCCTACTGCTGAACCAGTTGAATCATGAGATTGGGAAAAGTTGGCATCAACTTCTGTTTATAAACAGCAAGACCTGACATATTCATTTCCTTTGTTATAGAGATGAGGGCCACATAGCAGAATAGATATTTCAGCAATGATAAAAAAAATGCTAGAGTTCTATCTGTGTATTCTTTTATATAATATAGGTAATCTATCAGTTCCGTTCCCTTCCTAATTTTTATCCTTCATTTTTATTGCTGTTATCATATTTATTTTAGCATTCTTCTATTAGCAGCATTTAGTGACATTGCAAAAAGATGCTTCAGAAAAGGATGAACTTTTCATTGTGACGAGTAATAAGTTAAGCTTAATTATTTTGTGTAAGTCGAAAAGCTGCAGTTTGTTGTTGTTCCTGAGTCTTTCCTCCCTAATCGCAATTCAACACTCTTTTTCAAGCATTGCTATGGATGAACTTCATGCTGCTAGACAAATAAATTCTTTGGAAAAATGCACATTTTTATTTGGAAATAATGCCATCTCTTTGTTAGATTTGCAGCAATCCTATTTTGCCTCTACTGTTTTTAAGTCGAAAATGAAAAATTATATAGAAGATGTTTGTGCATCATATTGTGCTGAATGGTATGTAGGTCAGCATGCTGCACCATGGAAGATAAGGCACAGTGAATAAGTGTTCTATGTACTTACAAGCAAATATCAGTCATAATAGAAGTAGACAGATCTACAAGAGCGTTTTGGCTTTGGAAATGCTTCTTGTCATTAGCATTTTAAAAAAGCTATGAGATTCAGGCCTATCAGCACCGATTCACTGCAAAGCCTGGCTTATACAGGTTGTTATCTGTTCTGTACAGAGGTGCAGCTGGTTACCAAATGGATTTGCAGATTTTTTCCAGTTTCTTCTTTTTTTTTTAAAAGCAAGGATGAGTAAAAAGGCAAAGAATCAGGTACTTACAACCCATTCAAAATGTAACAATTTTGTTTGTATTATAAACCAAACCTTCTGTTTGCTGTTTTTTTAATGCATTATTTTTAGAAACAGAATAAAAATATCATGTTTTGATGCTGGAATATCAAAAGTATTTCAGTACTCCCAAGGGCTCAAGTATCCAAGAAGCAGCATCTGGAAGGGGAGGTATGCATTATCCCATGATGCTGTTTATTTTGCAGTTTTATTTTGATATATAAGTCAAAAGGCAATATTTGACATTTCTTTTCTTTTTTCTTTTCTTTTTAAAGGGATACTGCAGCCACTTTCTGAGGTAGAGGGGATATAATGGCTGTCTCTGAAGGTGACTGGAAGAGGTGTAACCTCCCAAGTAGAACATTTTATGGATGCAGTGAAGGGGGTACAGCGATGGTAACTCTTTAGGGAAGACCATACGTGGAACAGGAAAGGAGAGACGTTCTCATTGCTCTACTTCGCTGTTCAGCTTCACGGTTCTACCATGTTCCCATTTGCTTGGCCCTATTATGTTGGGAAGTTTTTGGTCTTACACAAGATTTTTTTTTATGCAAACAGGACTGATATAGCTGCAATCAGAGCTAGATGAAAACCACAATGCCCAAATCTTGTTATATTGGTGCTAGAGACTGTATGGTACCAGAGATTTCATGTTCCTGTCTCATCTTGTTCCAACTATCTTTTATATGGTTCCTGTTGCTCAGATCTATCTGTTCTCAAACATTGTAACTTCTGCTCTGCTGATGAAAATCCTGTGGAAATTATGATTCTGAAGTATATATAAAGGTAATCTGCTTACAGCAAACCAAAATTCCTCTTCAACATCATGTTCTCACACATCTAAATAATGTTTATTTAAGAACGTAGTCCTGCTGCAGCAATGAATAAAGAAAATGAAGGTTGAAGGCTGGGAATACCAAAGATAGACTAGGACAATAAATATATTATTGTTTTCTCATTCACATAATAGCATAAAGCAATTTTCACCAGCCTGACACTCTTTGATATATTGGGATTGTATATTATATTATTCCTAATAAATATTGTCAAGAGTGTGAAGTCTATCATAAGGTATAGTATATATACTTGTGTGATAAAAAAATTCTTCAGAATGATGCAGGTTCAGATCAAAGGCCTATCTAGTCAAGGATACTTTTCATATTGACCTACAGCAAACTATAGAAATGAGTAGCAAGCAAGGCATAAACCCAATAGCACTCTCCCACATGCACTTGACATCAATTATCTTCAGGTACACTTCTATTTTACTAGAGACAGCATCTAGCCATCTCATAGCCTTATCCTTTATGGGCTTTTATTCCCCTTGACAATCTGCACAAATTGATGCTGATGCTTTATTTTATGAAAGTAATTTCCATAATATCAGTATGATCTGGGTGAAGGAAATCCTTTTTTGGTTCTAAAAATTTTCAGTATTTAACTTGAATAGATAATGCTGGATTGTAATACCAAAAGAAAATGGTCCTTTCAAATTTGTCCAGTCCCTGCATAATTACATGTCTCTCCGTCATATTCTTATTTCTTTTTTCTTGAGTTAACAATCTTTCCAAATTATATTTCCCCATAAAACAAGTAAACAATGTTGACTGCTTCCATTTGTATCTTCATCCCTGTTGATAACCTCAGACAACTTTAAAATAAAGCTATAAATTGTGTCTTCGTTCTTCTGCATCAATATGTATCTCATCTAATAACTTCATTTCTTTATTAACATTTTCCCGGAATTTACCTAAAATCTTTGTAAAGCCAATGTGTCTAATGTTGTACTGGAAACGGGAATAGACCTTACTTAGGGAGAGCTGAAAGAGATTTTTTTTAAATATCTTTGCTTCTTTGTCCATTTTTTGCATGTATATCGGGCCTTCTCTCTGAAAATTCAAGGCAATATACACAGGGATCTCTTCTCATTGTATTGTCTCAACAATGTTGTGAACTATATTGATCTGAGAATGACTAGTCCGAAGCTGCCCAGAAAGGTGTCCCTTGTACCTCTGCAACATCTTCCCACATCACTACATGATTTTTCTGTTCTTTCTATTCTGTAATGTACTACTGTATTACACCATTATCTCGTCCCAATGTCTGTTTGACTGATGCTGCAAAATTGTAGCTGAAAGCCCTGGACGTATATAAGGAAAAATAAGAAAGAAAAAAAAAGGCTACCTCCTGCTGGCTATAGTTTGTCATTACATTTGAACCAGGCCAAGAGATAAAATTTATTGGATACATTCATTAAAGTGTCCCTCCTTTAGAGAAAAGCTATATGCAGTCTGCAAAAGCACTTTGAAGTATATGTATTGTTTTCTCCACTTTGTACCATTATTTACAAACAAAATACAGGTCTTCAGTCTAAATGATTGAAATGTAATTCAGACCTCAACTCATTTCCTAATTGTTGGCAAAATTCTTCACTATTTCTTCTGCATTCTTTAGGATGATGAAATAAGGAACTTACATGATCATACACATATCCTAAATTTATCTTATGCTTCCAATATTTGAAAATTAGAAATAAAGTTAAAACTTTTTTGGGATTCTAATCCTCAAACAAATTGAAGAAAAAGGCAAGCAATGCAGGTAAAATAGCATGAAATTGCTCAAGAGGCAGTGGTGAAGTAATCAAAGTGCCTCACATTTTAGAAAATTCTTGCAGCTAAAGTCTTCAGATATTTACAATAAGAAATGTCCAGTTTCTGGAGGCATCCAAACAGAGAACTAATACCTAGAAGCTGATCCAAAAGTAAGTCTCCCTAAGAAAAATAGAAACCAGGGATGTGCTGAAATTGGGAAAGTGCACTGAAAACATTTTATAATATGATTAAAAGTAAAAAAAAAAAAGTAGAAAAAGGGGGTGGGTGAGAACCCTCAGTTTTCTTGCTTGGAAGACAACAATCAAGGTAACTGTTACAGGTAACCACCTATGTCGGTGTAGCATTGTAGTCTAGATAAGAAACACACCCAGGGGACTGGCTTTATGTTTACTTTAAAGCTACATTAATAGATACTGGCAATTCCAAAAGTGCACCTCTTTCCCCTTGCTTTCACAGTTCAAGAAAGTAATAGAGGGTCCCTTCTGAGGCGTTTGCCATGACCACATTCCTTTTGTGGGTGCAGCTGCCTCTTATCTGACCATAGTCTGGTCCGGTCTGATGCTCTTCCTAAGGTTATTCCTAAATGTTATTCTGACAAAAAGGATCCACAAACAAAGTGCTCATTTTCCATATTGATATAATACACTAAGCTAAAAAAGGTAACTGACAAGAGTATATAATCTGCATTTTAAGCAAGCTGTGTGGCTGACTACTATGTTTAGTTTCTGAAAGTTTAAATTTATAGCCTATGAAAAATGTGGGGTACAATCTTGGTTTTTGGAAAACAAACATCATGTGTGCAGGAGGCAAAATGGCTATTATTAAGCAATTATAAAACCCAATCTGTTAAAATTCTAGGCAGAATTTTAGCTGCAAATAGCTTTGTTCCTTGACTTACCTTTGACTGACTACAAAAACTTATCTCTGGCTATTTGGTGCTTGCCACCTTATGATGATAGGCAATGTGACCCTTTGTCTGTCTACTCAAAAGTTAAATTTTATTGTTCTCAATAGGTTTTTCTTATTGTTAAGGAACATACGTACTTGCATCTATTTGATATAGTAAAATTTTAAAAAAGGGGATTTTTTAGAAAGAGGTAAATGAAAAATAAATAGAGATGGGAAAGAAATATTTTTTAGTGTTTAAGCTTGCTTTGCTTTATGTAGGAATTCTGTGACTTTTGGAAATGTAAAAATGATTCTAAAGCACATTGGCACCGACCCACAACTGCAGTGTTGACTTGGCACTGCCTACTCCCATTGCTGGCAGTGTGGTACATGGACATCTTTAGGCTTTTTCTCTGCTGTTTTCAACACAACAGCCAATCATTGTGGCTGCTCATGAGGCAAGATTGGCAGCTGATGAACCCAGATGCCAAGCTCTGGATTGTATGTCTGTTAGGTTTGTGGCTGATCCCTTCCCTGGCACTTACCCCACACTGCAGCAGACTGTGTCGCTATCGATGGAGCTGGTTTAGGACTGGTTTTCTGTTGGGCAGCATGCTTTTGTCATCCCAGTTAGACTGTTAATTTACCATTGATTTTAAGGAATGGCTTACCAGATATGGCTTACCTCATCTATGATGAAGAAAGCATACTGCATAAGATAGTTTCCCATTCCATTAAATCAGTGAGTACAGCTTATTTAAGTCCTATTAGCAAATGCCTCTTGCATACATCAGATGAGTAAGTCGAACACGAAAGCCTTTTTGAAGAATGAATTAAATACAGTTTACTTTTACACTTTTTCTTGATGGGTATCTTTACCATATTTTCTCATTTTGTCCCATAAATGACTTTGTGATGCATTCTGTTACTGTAACTTGATAGATTTCTATTTAGAAGGGAAAGTTGCATGTCGGATTTATAAAACTGCAGAATTCCTTGTATAAAAATAACTTTATTTTAATTTATTATTGTTTTTATAAAGCTGCCCAACTCAACAATGGGAGTCTGAATAATGTACAACCATTCTAACACATTGAAGGAATTAAAGTTTATTCTGGGTAATTGTGTTATCATACTCCAGGCAATGAACTTTTCTCCTTTGCTCTTTCCGTTATCTTTAATCACATCTTTTATTTTGCCTTCTTTACTGTTTTAGGAGCAAATACAAGAATAATTTCCTTTGATATCCACTACCAAAAAGTTAGAATATGATTTTCTGAGTACTCACCACATGCCAGAATGGTTACTAATACACGAAAGGTACTAATAAGTAACAACAAGTTATGGTTGTTGTGTTAATGATTGGTTGTGTTAGTGAGTGGATTAGTGATTGGTTGTGTTAATGATTGGGTTTAAGGTTTCTTACCTGCTTTGTATTTTTTGTAATGTTTCTAATTGTTCTTCTTTAATTATCAATTGTCCAAAGTCACATTGAGATGGGCAGCCATTTAAATTGGACAAATAAATGAATGAATAATAAATAAATAACTTCAGTTCAGTATAATATTTGGATTATGAGTAGAAATCAATGTGACCAGGAGACCTTCTCCACCTTGGTCTTGGATTATGGAAAACTTCAACTTGGGTCAGTGGCTGGGAAAAAGAAGGATGTGAAGCCATGCATGCACTCATCCATGCACTCTCATCTATTGTGTAGTTAGGACTGTTCTGTTCTGGAAGCATATCTTTTTTGGTGACTTTTCTTTTCTAATACTTCCTTTTTTCCCCCTCTCTCTTTGTGGCATGTTCTGAGTGGGAACAATCCAGGACTGTTCCCACCATTTTGGTCTGCTTCCACTTGGAATTTATTAATTAATCAAAATGAATAGCTAGAAGTAGAGTTGAGAGATTATGAACATATCCAAAGCCACCCTTCAGCTACTATCTTATGCTCCTGCAAATATTAATTTAAGATTCTACAATTTAAGAATTTTCATCTATCTATCTGTCTGTCTGTCTGTCTGTCCGTCCGTCCGTCCGTCCGTCCGTCTATCCATCCATCCATCCATCCATCCATCCATCCATCCATCCATCCATCTATCTATCTATCTATCTATCTATCTATCTATCTATCTATCTTTAACTTTGACTTCATCAAAACTGAATATAGCTCTTAAAGCCTTTCACAGAATTGAAAAATAATTAATTCTCTACATTAGGTGTACATCTAATGAACACAAAGAAGCCATTACTTGCATTTCTTGTGACTTGCTTATATGAAGACAGATTATGTGCATTGCTCATTCTTGTAAGAAGGGTGCATTGATATACTGATGTCTAGACATTCTTCAGCTGCAATGGGACTGCAAATTCCTTTGGCCATATAGCAGTTCTGAGAGTTGTAATTCCAACAATATCTGGAAGGAAGCAGTTTTGCTGGTAACTCTAGCACATGGTTATGAAGTTTGATTTCTATTTTCCCATTCAATGCTTGGGACAGTTAATTATATATATTTAAAATGGCATAAACATAGTTTAAGTATTATTCAAGCTAACTCATATTGAAGCTGTCTGTTTGAGAAAGAAAGTCTTGACTCTTTTCTAATCCACAAAGACAGAAGATTTTATATTAAGGGCTTGAGTTAATTATAATAAGTAAATCCAGCTCAATAAATTAACAGGCTTCTTCCTTATGCACTTAATATATTGTGTAAATAGCTTGATTTCTCTTCAGAAGTCTTTCAAAAACTGTCAGAAATTGTTGTTAGAAAGTTATTTGAAAAACAACATGAATTCTTGGTATATAAGGAACTCTATATTGCCAAGGATAAAGGGAGGCAGTATCTTAAAATTATATCAATAAAATTAAAAAGGCATGGCATTAATGGATCAACTTTTGATGTCTCTAATACATAATAAGTTCTATATAGTTTAATTTTAACAAGAAAATTGGCAGCTGATTAGACCATAAAACGATTAAATGCTTCCTAATTTGAAAAAATAAATAAAAAGAAGCTAAGATAATAAAACTCCAAAGGTTGTTGATGCACAGATATAAAATGTCTTCCCAAAATGTTTATATAAGTTTTTTTAATTAGGCTATCTGATAGATTGGAACAGCTTATTCTGTGGGGTAAATAATGTGCATTTAAAAATATTTCTAAATCCGTATTCCT